GTAAGAAGAAACATCAGAAGCAGTTGAGGAACCAGGAAGTGAGTCCCCTAGTAATGAGGAAGCATTTTGCTAGATAGCTTTTTAAAATGTTTCCTCTATATATGAAAATTCAACACCTTGCTTCTGAATGACTTTTGGGTAAACAATGAAATTAAAGCATAAATAAAAAAATTCATTGAAACAAATGAAAATAGAGACATAACATACAAAAACCTCTAGGATATGACCAAATGGTGTTAAGAGGAAGGTTTATAGCACCAAATACCTACATCAAGAAATTAGACAGATCTCAATTAACAACCTAACATTGCACCTAAAGGAACTAAAAAAACAAGAACAAATTAAACCCAAAACTTGAAGGAAAGAAGTCACTAAAATCAGAGCAGAACAAAATTAAAGTGAGACTAAAAAACCCATACAAAGGATCAACAAAAAGAAAAGGATTTTTTTTGTTTTTTGTTTTTTGTTTTTTTTTTAATAGATAAGCAAGATTGATCGACCACACGCTAGGAAAAGAAGATCCAAATAATCACAATCAAGAAAGACAAAGGCAACATCACAACTAATCTCACACAGAAATACAAAAGACCTGCAGAGACTACTGTGAAATTCTCTATGCACATAATCTAGAAAATCTACAAGAAATGAATAAATTCCTGGAAATACACAACTTTCAAAGATCGAGGCAGGAAGAAATTGAATCCCTGAACAAACCAATAATAAATGACAAAATTGAATCAATAATAAAAACTTACTAACAAAAAGGCCTTGGACCAGATAGATTCGCGGATGGATTCTGCCAGACAAACAAAGAAGATAGTACAGATCCTACTGAAACTATTCCAAAAAGTTGAGGAGGAGGCATTTCTTCCTAACTCATTCTTTGAAAGCAGCATCATCCTGATACCAAAATCTGGCAAGAACACAACAAAAAAAGAAAACTATTGTCCAATATTCCTGAAGAACCTAGACACAGAATTCCTCAACAAAATACTAGCAAACTGAATCCAACAACACAACAAAAAAATAATTCGTTTCTGGGATGCAAGGATGGTTCAATATACACAAATCAATAAATGTGATTCACTACATAAACAATTAAAAATGAAAACTGTATGATCATCTCCAAAGACACAGAAAAAGCACTGATAAAATTAAACATTGCTTCATGATAAAAGCCTTAAAAAAAACTAGGTATCAAAGGAATATACCTCAAAATAGAGTCATCTATGACAAACCCACTTCTAGTATCATACTGAATGGGTAAAAGTTGGAAGCATTCTCCCTAAGAACTGGAGCAAGACAAGTATGCCCACTTTCACCACTCCTATTCAACATCGTAATGGAAGTCTTAATCAGAGCAATCAGGCAAGAGAAAGCAATAAATATTTAAATAGGAAAAGAGGAAGTCAAATTATTTCTGTTTGCTAATGATATAATTGTATACCTACAAAATTCCACAGAGGAATGAACCCTAAAACCTGCACATAAAATCCACCTGGCCATTGACTCTCTTTGCATAGGGAAAATCCCAGAAAGAAGTGTGACAAATAGAAAGGTAGAAAACAACACACACACATTGAGGAAAACAGGGGAAGCTGAAAGGATTAAGAAGAGATTTAAGCTTCTGCCACCTGCAGGAGAGACAAAATTTGGAGTTTCAAGTCTAATATAGTTAACAAAAATAATTCTTCAGGAGAAAATAACAAAATTCAGACTCTATACAATTTTCACAATGTCCAGTATCAATTATCAATACACATGTGAAAGAAATAGAAAAACATGACCAATAACCAAAATTAAAATAAGTCAAAGGACCCCAACTCCAAGATGATGCAGATGTTGCAATTAGAAGACAGAGACTTTAAAGCAGCTATTATGAATATGTTTAAGAACTTAGAGGAAGATATATTCATAATAAACAGATGGGAAATATAATTAGAGAAATCAAACCTCTAAAAGAGAAAAAAATGAAAATTTTAGAGCAGAAAAATACAATAACTAAAATGAAAAATGCACTAAATGGGTTTAATAGCAGATTGAAGATTGTAGAGGAAAGTCAATAAACATAAAACTAGAACAGTAGAAATTACACAAGCTGAGAAATGGAGAGTAAAATATTGAATAAAAAGAAACAAAGCTTTAGAGACCTGTGTAAAGATATTAAGCAGTCTAATATATGTGTAATTGGTGATCCTGAAGAAGAGACAGAGAATGGGGCAGAAAAACAAAATGAAGACATATTGGATGAAAACTACCAAAACAGAATAGATAATTCAAAATAAACCCGCAATGATACAATAAACTGATTTTTGATAAAGACACTGAAATGATTCAATAAAAAAAAAAGTTTTCAGCTTGCTGGTGCAGTAGCTCATGCCTGTAATCCTAGCACTTTAGGAGGCCAAGGCAGATGGATCACTTGAGGTCACAAGTTTGAGACCAGCCTGGCCAACGTAGTGAAACCCCATCTCTACTACAAATACAAAAATTATCTGGACATGGTGGTGTGGGGGCTCCATGTACCTGTAGTCATAGCTACTCAGGAGGCTGAGGTAGGAGAATTGCTTGAACCTAGGAGGCGAAGGTTGCAGTGAGCCTAGATCAGGCCACTGCACTCAAGCCTGGGTGACAGAGTGAGACTCCATCTTTAAAAACAACAACAACGCCGGGCGCGGTGGCTCAAGCCTGTAATCCCAGCACTTTGGGAGGCCGAGGCGGGTGGATCATGAGGTCGAGAGATCGAGACCATCCTGGTCAACATGGTGAAACCCCGTCTCTACTAAAAGTGCAAAAAATTAGCTGGGCGTGGTGGCACGTGCCTGTAATCCCAGCTACTCAGGAGGCTGAGGCAGGAGAATTGCCTGAGCCCAGGAGGCGGAGGTTGCGGTGAGCCAAGATCACGCCATTGCACTCCAGCCTGGGTAACAAGAGCGAAACTCTGTCTCAAAAAAAAAAAAAACAACAACAACAACAGCAAACGTATTTTCAACTACTGTGCTCAGTCAACTGAATATCTATGTGGGAAAAAAATGAACTCTAAACCCTTACCTCACCATACAAAACAAATAACAGATGTAAAATTAAAAGCAAAAATTGAAAAGATTTTTGAAGAAAATAGGAAGATATTTTTTCTGAGGTTGAAAAATTTCTTAGATATTGAAAACAATAATTACAAAAGGAAGTAACTAATAAACCAGATATCAAAATTAGCTCATCGAAGTAACTGTTACATAAATAAACAGGCAAGGCAGAAACTGGGGAGACATATTATCTCATGCATAGACAAATCACCCAGTGAAACTAGATTAAAATTAAGAAGTTTGATTTTTCAAAGGGAAATAAAAATGGTTTCACACATATAATTGTCAAATAATTAGTATACAGAACCCATTAAAAAATGGCTCAAGAACCACCCAAACATCCATTAAAATGAATAAACTACAAGAATATAAAGAACTAGAAATGAAGAAAACCATAAAACAAAACACTTAACCTCATTCATGGGTAAATGCTAATTGAAGCCATGAGGAAATATTTCATATTCAATAGATTGGCAAAAATTAAACAGTTTGACTATTTCAAGTTTGGCAAGTATGTGACTTCAGTCAGAACTCTTATACACAGTATATAAAAATGAAAATTGGTGCCTTTTTTTTTAACTTAGAATTACTCAGTTTACTTAAGAATACATATAACTTTTGACCAGAAACTCTGGTCCATACCACCAGGAGACACGCATAGAAATATTAATCCTAGCACTCTTTGTCATTAAAAAAAAAATTAGAAACAATCCAAATGTTCATCAACAATAGAATGGATAATATGTTGCTGAATAAATGTAATACTATATACCAGTAGAAATAAATGAACTATAGCAATATACAGCAACATAAATGAATCTCAGGAATATGAAATTGAAAAGACAAAAAAGCGAGGCAAAGAAATATACAGTATAATTCCACTTACGTAAAGTTAAAAAACATGCAAGACTAATATATTTAGAAACAAGAATATAGGTCATAAAATAATAAAGAAAAACAGAAGATTTGATAAATGGAAAACTCAGGTTCTAAGAGAATAGGGAAGTAGATGAGAGTGGTGATGGGCAGGTAGAGAAATTCTGTGTTGGGTAACAAGAATATTTTATCTTTCAAACAGAGATAGAGTAGGCAAATGTACAAAAGTATACAGAAGTCTATGTATATATTCATTTTTATTCATCCAACAGTGACTAAATATGAAAATACATCTCTCTCTCTCAGTAACGTGTATTGACCTCATGGTGTTCACAATTCTGGAAGTGGTAAATGTGCTGTCTGAATCCCAGCTCATAGACCAGTTCAGGCTTCACCCTTTTTCTCATCTTTTAGTCCTATTTTGTTTTCGTAGCCTCCACTCTCCCTTATCAACATAAAAACACATCCTATGACCAGTACTTGGGCATTATCAGGAAAAATGATAGGAAAGTACTTAAAAATTAACTTAACCTTCCTCTCCAAGTGTTTGTTTTGCATTATGTTTATTTTTGAGGCTCTCATTAGTAGCTTAGTGGATCCTTGATAGAAACTGGCCAGCCAGCACTTGAAAATACACACTACGGTGGAGGCTTTTGACTTCTAAGACCCTTAGCACCATAAGGGTCTTCTTTAGCATACGGCTTCAATAGATAAGGTCTACATGGTAAATAGGGGAGTTAGAAAAAAATCAGTTATATTACTAGGAATGCTCTAAGGAAATGTAGGTTATCCTACAAAGGAAATGCAGGTTATCACTAAATATCCCCGTTTCATAGATAAGGAAATACAGGGTGTTAGAGGATATAAAGGTGCTGTCCTGGATAATGAGTGGACAGGGAATGCCTATCAAGATGTGCTGACAGCAGATATCTGCCTCTTAAAGAGGGTCAATATACACCATCCAATTTTATGTCTTCCTAATCATTCCCTCCTCCTGACCCCACAATGTATGCTTAAACGTGAGAGTCTTCTGGGTCTTCTCTGCACTGGGAGCAGCTCTTCTGCCACAGCTCCTCACCTGCTGAAAATGTATGCTTGCTCCAAGTTCGTCTCCACTCCCTCCTTGGTCAAGAGCACCTCACAGCTGCTGAGCCATCCACTATCCTCAGTGGTGCTGAAACAGCCGGAGACACTGACAGATGAGAGTCTCAGCAGCTTGGCAGTCTCACGTCTCCTTACCTCACTTGTCCCTAGCCACAGCTTCCAAACCTGCACCATTTCAAGGGAAATCACAACAGCCAAGTTCATTGGGGCTGGGGCTGCCGTCATTGGCGTGGCTGGCTCTGGGGCTGGGATTGGGACTGTGTTTGGGAGACTTATCATTGGTTATGCCAGGGACATTTCTCTGAAGCGGCAGCTCTTCTCCTACACCCTTCTGGGAGGCCTTGGAGCTCTTTTGCCTGATGGTGGCCTTTCTCATCCTCTTTGCCTTGTGAAGGAGCCACCTCCACCTCCCATAGTTCTTTCTACCATGTCTGGTGGCCCTGTGTGTTCCTTTTCCTATACCTCCCTGGGTGGCCTGGAGAACATGGTTGGCTCAGGGTTTGACAGAGAAAAGACAAATAAATACTGTATTAATAAGGAAAAAGGGTAAACAGGGGAACGAGGACAGCATGCCCCACTGCTTGGGTACTCAATGATGTATGGGTACAGATAGTGGTAAACAGGAAACAGCAGTGGTGCCAGGGGAGTGGCAGAAAGTGGTAGAAATTATTACCAAGAGTGAGATTGTTGACCAAGGGGATTGTTGACCCACTACTTTTCTTTGGACTTCTCTATCTAGGAGCATGATATTCAAAGGCAAAGGAAAAGAGCAGATACAGCCAAGGAAGAATTAAATCTCAACAAAGGTAAGGAGCATGTCAGAGTCGTGGTCCCCAGGTTCAGGAAGTCACTGGAGTTCTGCCAGGATTTGTGCTGGTGCTTACAAAGCTATTTTCCTACATCTAGGAACAAAAATATCAACTACCCACACGCCCAAGAAGTGAGAGAACTGCTTTACTAGAAGTTCACTGGAAAATATCAGGTGTTTTTGGTTGAATGCAAGCTGGAAACAAATCAGGCTTAATAAGAAGCACTGGAATGACTCCTTGTCTTATACTGTGCTGATATAAGTGTGATGCTGAGTCAAAGAAAGTTTAGTACCACTCTGTTTATTTTTTGCATATTAAGAGAAACATTAATGAGGGCTAGTGTACTAAAAGGAGATTAAACAGATTGCTGGGAGAACTGGAGACAATGCCACAAGAGGAATAAAAGTGCTGGCTGTGTTTATAAGCATGGAAAAAGATAAGCCTTAGCCACAAGGAAGGAGCCCAATAGCTGTCTTCCAGCGTTTCAAGCATTGCAAAGTACAAGAGTAATGAGAGTTATTCTGCATAGATTCAGAGGGCAGAACCAAGAACAATGCTTAGAAGTTAAAGGGAAGAAAATTCCATTCAATATAAGAAATCTGACAATCTTAGATTTACATAATGTTGCGTAATCCACAAATACACTCGTGCATCATCTCACTTTAGGAAGAACTCCCCAACAATCGATAACATGAGTGAGCTGCCAGGCATGTTTAAGCATAGACTAATGAATCACACTAGACTAGATGAACTTGAAGATTGTTTCCAACTCAGGCTGTGAATCAACCTCGAGGTGCTTCCAAGTCAGCTTCTAAACCGAGAGGAAACAGGGAACAAACGCAGTGACACCTGCATCAATTCACCCTTGTTTGTGTCCGTTTATACTTTTCAAAGAGGAAAAAAGTGAAAAGATAAGTTTGTCTTTACCACATGGGGAAATGGTTGAATTAGACATACTCCTCCTTTAAGATATTCAACGGGGCCGGGCACGGTGGCTCACGCCTGTAATCCCAGCACTTTGGGAGACTGAGATGGGTGGATCATCAGGTCAAGAGTTTGAGACCAGCCTGACCAACATGGTGAAACCCTGTCTCTACTAAAAATACAAAAATTAGCTGGGCGTGGTGGCACATGCCTATAATCCCAGCTACTCAGGAGGCTGAGGCAGGAGAATCGCTTGAACCCAGGAGATGGAGGTTGCAGTGAGCTGAGATTGAGTCACTGCACTCCAGCCTGGGTGACAGAGTGAGACTCCTTCTCAAAAAAAAAAAAATATATATATATATACATTCAAATCTGCCTCTCTTCCTAGGGAATTCTGCACGCTGGGTAAGAAGATGGACCACATGCCCAGAGGTTCCTGCTAACACCAAGATTCTGTGAAAGCTAAATTTCATACTTGGCTCTACTACTTTTTACACTGGCTTTGAGAAAGTCTTTTTCACTCTCTAGACCTCAATTATCTTTCCTATTACAGGAGGGTATTCGACTCTGTGATCTTTAAGATTTTTAGAGAACTCACATTCTAAAATAATAAGATTTTATAAAGAATATCTGGAAGCTTCATTCTTCCACATTCTATAAAAAGTACTGATCCTGAGTTCTGGTCCTAGCGAGATTATGGTGGCAGTGTAGCTTCTCAGTCTTTTCAAAACTGCTCCAGAAAACCAAACAGAAAATTAAGAATAGTGTAAAAATATGCACAGCTTGTATATTGTAAATGCTAGGTGATAGAGTACTGGTGAGTGTAGTCACAACCACATATGACAATGGCATCTAAAGACAATCCGCTGTGGAGAGGTGGCAGTAATTGAGCAGGGTAGAATCACTGGAATTCAGATGGTGCAAGGTGGCAGAAACAGGAAGAGAGTAGTGGGCTCAGTGCAAACCTTTGACAAGCCCTATAAGCTATAGAACCCAAGATCACCCATAAAGACTCACCCTCAAAAGAAGGCCTCGCCTGGAATAAAAATCTGTGTGGACAAGCCTGAGAATAACTGTGAAACTACATGTTCTAATATGCTCAGAGTTGCAAGTGAAAACAGGAGCCTGCACATGGCATCATGAGAGACCCGACAATGAGACAGTAGAGCAAACCCTTGATGATCGCCAAAATACCCAACTAATATCCCTTTCCGGAAATGTAGTCTCGTCCTGAGGGAAAAACTGCCAGAAGCAGACACATTGAGCTGGGAAATGACTCTGGACAGCTGAGAAGGTAAGTGGTGTGGGGAGGAGATTGTGGGCCCAAAGGAATCCGATCCTGGGAAGTCATGTAACAATGAAATGACTCATCTAAAGGGAAAGCTCTAGGAAACACAGGACTAAAGGCAGGAAATCTTCTTGGCTAGGCTTAGGACTAAGAGATGGATGAGATGATGTATTTTGAGTCCTTCTTAGTAACAAGGAAAGATGAAGCTAAGAGAATGACCCTAGTTCATTCCCTGGTCTCCACTGATCAGGAGCTGTCCCCTACTAGTCTAGAAAAAGCCATTTCATTTAAACAGGGGACACACAGAAAAAAAATACAAAGTTATTATTAAAAAGGTGATAACAAATAACACCAGAAAAAGTGAACACAAAGCAGATGAAAACTGTTTACACGCTGATTTGAAAAAACACTCAAATCACATTTTTTCCTTTGCTCTAATACCACAGCAATGAACACAGAAGCCTTCTGTGACCACATACTTTTGGGAGGGGTTCCCCACCAACAAACTGTGGACACCAACTAATTCAATTCTAATTCACTTTGAATTCACTTTTAGTTCAATTCCCACACTAGTTACCTGGAGATACAGGCTGAGGGCTCAGTCCCCAAGACTGCCCGCACCAACACACCCTTGTGGCAGATATTCTTTGCTGCAAATCTGAGCCTCTGGAACTTCTGACCTACTGGCTTCAAGTCAGGGTTCCCATGATCCCCTCTAGTTTGATTAATTTGCTGAAGCAGTTCAGGGAAACACTTGAGATTACCAGTTTATTATAAAGTATATTACAAAGCATACAGATGAAGAGACACATAGGGCCAGGCATAGGGAAAGGGTTGTGGAGATTCCACATCCTCCCCTGACACAGCACCCTCCAGGAACCTCCACGTGTCAGCTGTCTGGAAGCTCTCTCAGCCCTGTCCTTTTGGGTTTTTACGGTAGCTTCACTACATAAGCATGATTGACAATCATTCAGAAATGTGATTGGGCAAAAAGTGCATGATCTAAACCCAGCAAGGCCTGCCTGCTCAGATGCTTTTGCTTTTGGCCTCTCTGTGCAGCATCCCCTCCTCTAGGGTGTTGGGGCAGGACCCGCTCTGAATGAGAGTCTTTTAGCCCATAATCAGGCTAGAGTCCTGCCTTGGGCAGGGGAGAGGAGGACAGGAGGTCAAAGAGAGAGATTCTGTTTCCAGAGGTCTGCTTCGAGGCATGAAGCATCTCACATTATAAAGGAAAACTAACCAGAGTTATGGAGTCATGATCCAGGAACTAGGGATGAAAACCTGTATATGTGTGTTTATATATAAACTATATAAATCACAATATCACACATGCCATAGCAAAGTGAGAGAAAAGAAATTAAAGAAACAATAGACACGTTGAAAGAATAGTATAAACCAGAAATAGAGGAAATAGTTAAATAGCCAATGACTATGAATGGAGAACTTACAGAACTCAGGAAAGAGTTATTTTTAAAAATACACTAATAAATAAAGACTAATAAGTAGTAACACATGGGAAAAAAGATACTTAGAAAAATACAGTAAAAAAAATCACAAGATAGAAAAGGAAAAATGAAGGAAATCAAACAGAAATAAAGATAAAAATGATTTGAGACAAAATGAAAGATGAGAAGACAAGAAAAGATAAAGAAATAATGGAAAAAAAGGAGGATCTAACAAAACAGTTGCTAATGAAGAAAAATGAAAATTAAAATTATAAATCAGGAACAGTTTACTGAAATAGAAGAAATTTTAAGATTTACATATTTATTTTAACTGGAAAAATCAACCCATGACAGTTACCCCCAAGGAAATCCTAATAAAATAACTGGACTTTAAAAGTTAAAAACAAACAAACAGACAAAAAAACCTCTTTGAAAATTCAGACAAAAAGACGAAGTGATTTTAAGAGATAGAAAATCAGATTTGAATTAGATCTCTCAGGTCACAACTGTGATCCCAGCACTTTGGGCAGCTGCAGTGGGAGGACCACTTGAGCCTAGGAGTTCAAGGCCGTAGTGAGCTATGCTTGTGCAACTGGTCTATCCTGGCTGACACAGTGAGACCCTGTCTCAAAAACAAACACACACAGAAATCAGAATTATTAGCAGCAACGTCTTCTGTTTAAAAACAAGAGAAATATTTTAAACAAAATCATGAAAAGAAGATGAAAGTCAAAGTTTGTATGAGTTAAGAGGAAAAACTCCAGCATTGTGAGCTGCAAGATCTCATGGAATGTTACTCTCATGAGCTGTTCCTGAGACATTTACTGGAGAATGAGCAAGAAGTGATTCCAGAAGATTTAGTACAAGTTCTCAGAGATAAGTGGGAATGTATTTCAATATAGAACAACAACTTGAAATTGGAGATA